AAAAAAAAAAGAATAATAATCCTACCATAACAAATACCAGACACGTCGGTTGAAGGGAGGGAAACACAATTGGACACTTTTTTTTTTTTACAAGGGATGAACTATCTATCATCCATCTCTCTCTCTTTCTTTAAATAAACAAATAACATGTCATTTGCTGCTAAAAAAAAAATATTGTTACAACTAAAAGCTTTTACCAGACGTTTTAAAAATATATTAACCTTATTCATTTTTTATATAAATAATTAAACTCACCCGGTTCTGTGGTTGTTTGATAATCAGCTTAACGTGTGACAAATAATATAATCAATATATTGTAATGTGTCTAGTATGTACCATCAATTATGTAAAGTTAAAAAGAGAAATTGAAGATATAACATGAAAATTTTGAATAAAAAAATTGTACAATATAGTAAATTATTTTTATTTTGAGCAAACAAAAAATCATATTATAAAATTTTATTCAAAATGTATGTTGTATATTTTTTTCTTTGAATATAAAACAAGGAAAATGTTTCTAATGCCGGATCAATCTATTTTAATGCCTCTAAAGTTATTTAAAGTTTTATTATTTAAAATAGAAGTTAAATTAAATGTCATTTATACTTTTATTATTTTTTAATTAGGTCCTTTCTGCATAAATTATCACATTATGTGACATAACTTGCAGTATTTTTTTTTTCAAAACTTGAGTAAGAATTTTTAAAAAATATGCATCGGCAATAATATACACACACATATTAAATATATTTTCTTTTTTATTTATAATGATGTTAATTATTTTCATTCATTTTCAACAAATAAAAAATTATATAAATAGTTAATCACTTAATATATATATAAACACGTATGCACACACATATGACAACATTTTTCTTGGATGTAGAGAATGCTATAGTAATTATCCATGTAGTTTTTATCCTCACAATTAAAATTATCCGCGCTTTTTTTTTTTAATATTTAACGATTTACTCCACAACTTTTTTTGATATTGTTAAAACAATATGATACAATATTCTAAATTGTATATAATCAGTGACCAATCACTTAAAAGATTTAGGAAATAATACATTAAAATAAATTCTCTGCTTTCATACGTGACTAATTAAACACAACGTAAAATAAATTAAACCTTGTTAATTTTTCAATGGCCAATGACCTCCTGACTAATGAATGTGAACAGTTTCCGTTAAACTTAACAGTTTGACTTGGATAAGGAGGATGGAAGGTTCTCATTGCATAGGACCATGGGTCGCATTAATAAAAACGATAAGTAGCTATCTCAATGATCCCGAAATAGTAGAGGGACTAATGACTTCATTTAACCACTAAAGTAGGGGCAAAAAAAATAAGTTAAATCAAATATATTTTATATTATATATAAAGTTAAGTGGTGTGGAGTTTTTACTCTATATGAATTATTATTCATCCCCTTATATTTTACCTTGGATTATAATAATATAATTTTTAAAATTTTCAATTTGATCTTCAAACATTATTTTAACACTATTAAGCCCAAATTAAAGTTTATTTGAATGTTTTTAGTGGGTGAGGATTAAATTGAAAGATAGGAAACTAAATTGTAAAATAATGGTAACATAGATGGTACATTTAAATTTATTTATTAAGTACATTTTTGTCCCTCATGTTTTTTTCAATAATGTGACTAGTCCTTTGCATTTTTTAAACTTTTATTTTGATATTAAACTTTATTTTCAAGATTAACCCATGTTTTTATTAATTATCTAAATTGTATTTGGATCCATGAAATTATTCAATTTAATTTGGAGCTAATTTCTATGTGATTTAATTTAAAATTTAATTTAGACAAATAGTTAAGTTGTAAGATTTTAAAATTGATCAATTAAATCAAGTTAAATAAAAAATTTATTTTTTTATATTTTTTTATATTTTAAAAAAATTATTTAGCATGTGACAAAACGTGAAGTCAATTATCTCTAGAGAATATTTGCACTGTGTTTTTTAAAAATTTTAATTTTTTTAAATTAATTTTTTATATATTTTGAACCGTTTTGATATATTGATATTAAAAATAATTTTTAAATAATAATAAAATATTATTTTAATATATTTTCACATATTTTTTTTAAAAAGCAATCATAATTATATTCCTAAAAAAATAATAATGGACCATCATTTCTGACCTTTCATGATGGCAACATTTCTTTCCTACGGATTGATGATAGATGGATAATGTGTGATAGATTATAGGGTACCTAACTTAAAAAAATATTAATTTGGGTACTCAATCGAGAGTTAGGTGATGATTGAGAATAAATATGTTAGGTGACCAAATATATACTTGCAAACAGTAAGGGTTCTTGGAATGTTATATTTAATTATTTAATTATTTAATTAATATAAATATTTAGATTAATTTATATATATCTTAACTAATTTTACAAGTTTTAAAATTAATAATTATATAAATATTTATTAATCAAGTTTAATATTTTATGTGTAAACAGAGAAGCAAGATAACTATAAATTATTATTTTATGTGTGAACAGAGAAGCAAGATAACTATAAATTTTTTTTTTTTTTTGTCAATCCAATACATATATTTTTCTATACTATTTATCTCTTAATCTCCATACATTATTTTTATGTTTGTTTAATTATGCTTTCATTTTAGTGCTATTAATTCTTCACCTTAACGCCTTTTAAGTTCCATACAATTTATTATAATATTCCTAATTTTCTTAGGCGTTTTCCACCACAAAAAAACTTTATAGTTTATAATTAGTTTTTTTAAAATTATTTTTCTAGATTTTAACCTCTTTAAGTTACTCAAGTTTTCTTAGAATTCTAATATTTTAACCTCTTAATTATTTTTTAATTCATTATCCTTGCTTTGATTATTTGTTTGTTGAACTTGCATTTATTTAATATTAAGGTAGTTGCTATCGTAGTGTCATGTTGCTTTTAAAAAAGAAAACATAATTCTTATAGTTTTTTTGATTGGGCCCATTTATTTTTTTTCCTAAAAGTTTATATTATTTTTTCTTCTTCTAACATCTACCAAAAAGTAAACTACCATCTTATGTATATACCTCATACATGATATGGACTTTATGTGAACATTTATCTCCGTATTTTAAAATATACGAAGACTTTAGGGACAAAGGAGAGTTTTTCTAATCTTTATTGGTTTAATGGTTTAGGATCTAATCACACAGTCATAAAATGTAGGGATCAAAATGTAATTCAGCCTTTTTTGCGCAACGGGAATGTTGTTATGATTTGTCTCACTAAGCCTCTTTCTAAAGTGATATAAGGAAAACAAAGAGTTTCATTTGTTGCATATCTGCTCAGGAATTTGTATAAACTTGGTTCATAACTCAAAGCAATGAAACTATATATTCACTAGTCCTGTAATCCAAGATGGCCGGCCGGGCATGTTCAGAGGACTCCTCTTCCGGCCAATTATTCAGTGTTTACGATATTAGATCCACAGTAAACAATTGAATGAGGACTGTTGTAGTTGCTCAACGTGGATCATAATCCACAGACGCTAAGCAGTAAAGGATAAATTTACATTACAAAATAAAAAAAAGGAAGCAAAAACACCATAGTTTCATTTGTTACTTCTGGACAGGTTTCCAAGCTGAAATAGCATGGATTATTTTACCCTTCCATCCAAGAAGTATCCATTGTCCATCCTCATCAACGATAAAATCTTTATGATAATCATGTTTAATGTTTTTCACTCTTCTAATGATGCTTTGATGTAATGGGACCTGCCTAAATCCAATCCTCAAATTCCTCATATGCCATTGCTTGTATGGCTCTGGCCTTTCAACCCTTTGTGTACCCTCACATGCTATCACATTTATAGCGTCCCTTCCAATTTTTTCCCTCTCGAACAACAATCTTTCTTGATCTTCTCGAGGTGCAGTAGCTTCAAGCATATCAAAAAATGCAGAATAATGGAACAATGCCTCACGGAACCTCGTGACAAAGAAGGGAGCATTGTAAGAACCATTACTAACTCCATGGAGGAATATATCGGGATTGATTCTCTTAATCAGTTTAAGAACGGCATCCCTGGGGCTGTTGACCACCATCGTGTCGTCAGGTAAGTTCTTCAATCGGTACATACAGTTGACAATAATCACCTCATCGCGATCTCTATCGATCTTGAGATCCTCATATTGAATAGTTTCCCATTTCTGGGCTATGGCATTGTACTCAAACGGAACCTTCATTCTGTCAGCCAATCTTTGTAAACGACGGCCAGTCTCTTCAACCCTTTCTGCAGGCCGGAAACCTGGTTGGGGAAGCTCAATTCCCGTAACGCGAATCTTGGTAGGTCTTCCAGGCCTTAATGACTGCCTGTAGATAAAGCAAGGCCATTGAAATCCGTAGCTAATGCCAAAATCAATGATGTGCACGCTTGTTGCCTTATCTACTACTCTAGAAATTGTTCTGTTTGCACACAAATTTGTCATCTTCCTGAAAGGGCATACTGTAACATAGAGCTCATAAGATTTCAGGATGTCAGCAGCTGTTGTCGAACTTTGCGTAATGGGTCCAGAGAGTGGCATGCCAGTGCCAGCAAGGCGTGCCTCAAGGCCATTAGCGAAATAATGTGCCAATCTTTGATTTGCATCCCCCAAAGGAGAAGAATGTTGCCTAATCTGCTTTAATTTCCCACTAGCTGTCTTTAGATCCCCGATTCCTGCAGCTTGTGCACAAAGAATTAGCAGAGTCCACAGGTCTGTCTCTCTTTTATTAGCCAGTGTTCTCCTGCGCATATCAGAAGCAACTGACTGCTCACTTTGCAGAAACTTCTTGTTCCTTGCACTTGGTGAATTACCGTACAAAGGACACGGTATGTGTCCTCCATTCTCAATATTATACAAAAAGGTATCATCAAGAAGCTCCAAGTGCAGGGACTCTGAGACCGAAGATTGCTTCTTGCTTCTCCCTTCTTCTAAGTAGCCATTATTGTCATGCTGATGATTCCTCCTTCCCCTTGTCTGAATTGATGAGTAGTTCCTTCCATTCTTCTGCATTCTGTCTGCCATCACCTCTCTCTTTAGCTCTTGAGGATCTGATACATTTCCCATTGAAGAAAATTTGATAGAATGACTATATGGAATGGACTTGTTAGCACTTCCCATAACTCCATTGAACTGTCCAAAAGGCTGCGTTTCTACATGTACATACGGCATGCTTTCGGGAGAGTCAAATGGCTGTGTAACAGAAGATTGAACACTTGTAGTTGGAGTGAAATTCTCATCTGGGCGCTCATTGTTATGAATTAAACAAGGAGGGCAATGATCCGAAGAAGATGGATACTCTTCGCCGATAACATCATAAAGTGACTTTTCAGCAGCTTGGAGTGCGAGACTATCCTGTAACATACAGGTTTTATCCCCCAAGCCATCTTCCATTAAGATGTCATGTATGTACTTCAAAACAGCATGGTAGCAGTCAGTCGTTTCACTGTCGAACGGAGATTCTCCATCTGAGGTCGACCTTAAAGAAGGATTGTTAGCGGGAGCTTGTAGATTGGTGGGATAGGAAGGTGGATCCATAGATTCAATCACCATTAGTATGGAAACGAAATGTGCTCAAATTCGTATCCGATTGTCGAACAAGAAAGTGGAAAAGGTGTAAATAATACTACTTATCTAGGATGCCCTGGGGAATATGATTTCTGTGAAAACCCAACAGAAACACAAGATTTTGGAAGTGATGGGTAAGAAGGAAGTGTAGATCGCAGGTACTAATTATGAGACCAAGGGGCCAAGTTTTTTGAAGAAAGCGATTTGAACAAGAAGTATCCAAATGTTTATATAATGATTTTGGTAAATGGGATTCGGTTCGCTTTTAAAAGCAAAGAGAGGCCTTGGAGCCCATCTCCTCTGCAACCTGACCTCTTGGAAATTTCTTGCACGTTAGTTTTGATCAAGCTTGAGTCGCATCTATGACTCTATAGAAGACTTGAATTATGATGCACGGGTTGTCTGTATCGATTGCCAAAGGCCACTGACTAAATCAAAAAGCCGTTGTCATATAATGGCTCCATATTCTAACCAATCATGTTTAACCAGCGTGTAATGATTATTTAAAATATTTTTTATTTAAAAATATATTAAAATATTTTTTTTATTTTTTAAAATTTATTTTTAATATCAATCCATTAAAACAGTTCAAAATATAATTTTTTTTTTATTTTAAGCAAAAAAAATTTAAAATTTTAAAATTTAAAAAAACACAATGACATACTCTAAATTAGATAAAATATTTATTTTATTTATGGTCTCATTTTATCTTTAGCATGTTATATGTATTATTATATTATTAGAAAAAGGAAGGTGTTTGATCATGTAATATGCCGGTCAGTTTACTCATTCAAGAGGAAAAAATATAATTATGAATCTCATCTTCTCTTATCTCGTAAAAAAACCAGTTTATATCTAAATTTAACCTAAATTTAACGAGCTTAAAATTTTTATTAATCTAAAATATTTGGGTTTAGGCAACAATCATGATCTCATGCAGCATATTTCGGTTCATTTTCCGCTTCTAAAAACCTAGGGCAACTTGCTTGAACCTAACATTTTTTTAGTAATTTTTTGATATCTCCACATGAGTTCTTCAATATTTTATATTAATTCAATACATATTATTTTAAATGAAATATAATTCAAAATATCATGGGGATAAACAAACTCTTCATTCCTTTCTTTTTATAAAAAGACAAGATTTATAGGCTATAAAAAACCCATCAATCCTTCAAGTACCAGGTTTATAATCTCTTCATGTTCAAATTTTTTTACTATATATGTTTTTGGAGTCTATCTCCCTAAAATATGATTGCACCTTTTCTTTTCAGAAATATACTTACTTAAACATTTGAGAGTCCCATTTCTACTAAAAGAGACATTTTGCAGGTGCCAACCAATTCGACATACCAGGTACCAATTATAAGATACCAGCAACCTTGGCTAGAAAGAATAAATTAAATTGCTAGAACCAATAAATTAATCAATTACCTAAAACATAAGTTTTGCTCATAAGTTACTTGGATTTTTTGGGACCTCATCATTGGTGTTGTTGTGGAAAACTAAACATAAATCTAATTCATTGACCTCATTATTGACGTTGTTGTGAAAAAGTAAACACAAATCCAGTTTATTCTTGTTTCTTAAAAGCTCTTTTTATGGTTGATAAAATCCCAACACAATGGTGATTGTGCCTACAACTACACTTATGACTATACCCCAAGGCTATGCCTACAATATTTATGGGGGCTTGTACATGTCAAAGGGTGTTATTGGGACTTGAAGAGCTTTAATGATGCATCCAAAATGAGTTCCACCTATTTGATGAGCCCCACCTACTAGGTGAGGTACACCTATTGGATGATCTCCACATACCAGGTGAGTTCCACCTATGGTACAAGTTCCATCTACTAGGTGATTTCTATCTACTAGATGAGCTTCATCTATGAAATAATTTTCACCTATTAGACGAGCTCCACTTATTGAAAACTCTTCAAATAATTGGTATAACTCTTCCTAGTGCAAGAACACCACTTTCAAAGAATTGACTTGGTTTCCCTAATGCAATAACAACACCATTCTTAGGTTCTTATCAACCATTAAATTTTTTTCTAAGAATGGGCTTATCTTTCTATAGATTTTCCTTAGCCACTTAAAAATTTTCTAAGCATGGGCTCTACCTTTAATGCATTCCTCCAATGAGAGTTGAGTTTCTGGAATAAGTTCAAAGGTGAGAGTTTCTTTAATGAATTTAGATTCCTCCAATAGGAGTTGAGTTCCTCCAATGAGTTTGGAGATGAGAGTTCCTTTAGTGGGAGCTTATTTAGTAGGTGCTTCTTCAAATAGAGTTCCTAAAATGGGAGTTAAGTTCCTCTAAAGAGTTTGGAGATAAGAGTTTCTCCAATAAGAGTTCCTTTAGTGAGAGTTCTTTAATGAGAATTGAGCTCCTTTAATGAGTTTGGAGATGAGAGTTCCTTTAATAAGAGTTGAGTTCCTTTAATGATTTAGAGACTAAAGTTCCTCGAATGAGAGTTGAGTTCATCTAATAAGTTTAGAGATGATAGTTCCTCTACTAGGAGTTGATTTCCTCCAATGAGTTCAAAGATGAAAGCTCCTTCAATAAGAGTTGAATTCCTTCAACAAGTTTAGAGATGAGAGTTTCTCTAATGAGAGCTCCTTTAGTGGAGGTGAGAGTTCCTTTAATGGGAGTTTAATTTCTCCAATGAGTTTGGAGATGAGAGTTCTTCTAGCGGGAGTTTCTTTCTTGGGAGTTGAGTTCCTCTAATGAGTTTGGAGATGGGAGTTCCTCAAATAAGAGTTTTTTAAATGAGTTTAAAGATAAGAGTTCATTTAATGAGAGTTCATCTAGTGAGAGTTCCTTTAAAAAGAGTTCCTTCAATAATAGTTCCTTTAATAGAAATTCTCCAATGAGAGTTGATTTCCTCCAATAAGTTCAGAGATGAGAGTTCTTACAATGAGAGTTTTTCCGATAAGAGTTCCTCTTATGAAAGTTTTTCAAATGAGAGTTGAGTTCCTCTAATGAGTTTCTCAATGATGATTGTGCCTACAACTACACCCATGGCTATACCCCAAGGCTAAGCCTATAATATTTATAGGGGCTTGTACACGTTAAAGGGTGTCACTAGGATTTAAAGAGCTTTAATGATGCACATAAAATGAGTTCCACCTACTTGACAAGCTACACCTACTAGGTGAGGTACACTTATTAGATGATCTCCAATACTATGCGAGTTCCACCTATGGTATAAGTTCCACCTACCTGGTGATTTTCATCTATTAGATGAGCTTTACCTATCAAGTGATTTCTACCTACTTGACGAGCTTCACTTATGGATGAAAACTCTTCAAATAATTGGTATAACTTTTCCTAGTGCAATAACACCACTTTCCAAAGAATTGACTTGGTCTCTTTAATGCAATAACAACAACATTCTTAGGTTCCTCTCAGTTATTAATTTTTTTTCTAGGAATGGGCTTATCCTCCCATGGATTTTCTTTAACCACTTAAAAATTTTCTAAGCATAGGCTTTACCTTTAATGCATTTCTTCAATAAGAGTTTAGTTTTTGGAATGAGTTCAACGATGAGAGTTTCTCTAATGACTTTAGATTCCTTCAATGGGAGTTGAGTTCTTTCAATGAATTTAAAGATGAGAGTTCCTTTAGTGGGAGCTTCTTTGGTAAGCGCTCATTCAAATAGAGTTCCTTAAATAGGAGTAAAGTTCCTCTAAAAAGTTTGGAGATGAGAGTTTCTCTAATAAGAGTTCTTTTAGTGAGAGTTCTCTAATAAGAATTGAGCTCTTCTAATGAGTTTAGAGATGAGAGTTCCTTCAATAAGAGTTGAGTTCCTCCAATGATTTTAGAGACTAGAGTTCCTTGAATAAGAGTTGAGTTCATCCAATGAGTTTAGAGATGAGAGTTCCTCTACTAGGAGTTGATTTCCTCCAATGAGAGTGAAGTTTGTTTAACGATGATTAGTACTTAAAAATATATTTTTATTAAGGTTTTATATCATCATTTTGCACTTGAAATATCAATAACTCTTTAACTAAAACATGTTTTATAATAACATATCTAATGATATAAGACACCTTTAATTTGTGGTAAATTTTCATTTTAAATATAGGCATATCACATAAATAAAAGGATTGATTGATGAGTTTAAGAACTGAAATTAAAAGGACAAAGAGATGACTAAACTTAGAAAGGAGATGCTGGTGCAGTCCAAACCAGAACACTGTTTGATAATTGGGTTCTATCTGGAACTGTAAATCTCGGATTTAGGTAAGATATAGGCCTATAACTTTCATGTGGATGTCTGGTTTTAAAAAGGCTATTTTTAAGTCCAAATTATAGCAACAATGAAGAAGTCCGAATCTGTCCTGCAACCCGAACATTGTTCAGTGTTTGACCCATATATGAAGTTCTAGAAGTCCAAATGAGCTGAATTTTTTACACAAGAAAGCAGAGACAA